GTTCGAAAACCCAAAGGGCGATCTAGGGAAATCAGCTAGCCATTAAAAAGCAATAGGAATAAAACCAAAAGAGCGCAAATACAAAAGAAAAGGAAAATGTTTGCTTAGACAAAGCTTAAACACCTAAGCTTAACCTTAGCCAACCATTCTTACAAAAACCTTTATCAATAAAAATTAACCCTCTAAAACACAAACCTTTGAATTAACTTCTTTATTTCTTTTCTCTTGACCCTTACACCAAAATTCTAATAATTAATTTGGGAATATGGAGGCGTATAGTCAACAAGAGGATTGAAATCCCTAGAGTGGAGAAAGAGGGGCACTACAAAGAGTGCTCTACAAGAAAAAGAGAAAAACCAATTATCCTTCGGTCACGACAAAATCGAGACGGCAAAATTGGTACAGCCTATCCTATCGACGAAAGCACATAACGTCAGAAGCTCCTCAGAAGCTCAAGCACATTGGTTAATCCTTTTGAAAAATTAATTGAAATAGTATTATAGGATGCATATCGCCAACATTGCATGCATATGATAGGCTCCTATCTCTCAAAAAAAAAAAGAGAAGAAAAATACAATAAAAAGAATAATGCCTGCTAGGATATTCTTAGGCAAAAGTTAGGGTAGCCCGCTAGATCGAAAACCCGCAAAGGGTGGTCTAGGAAAAAGTTAGGGCATTCATAAAAAAGGAAAAAGCCCGCTAAGATATCCTAGGCAAAAATTAAGGCAGCCCGCTAGACCGAAAACCCCAAAAAGGGCGATCTAGGCAAAAGATAGGGCTAAACCAAAAAATGGATGAAAGAGAGGGAGGGGCCCTTCATCATAATCATAAAAATTCCAGCAGGAGAATGCCAGTCACTTTTCCAGATGCATCAATAAAAAAAAGAATAGATTGCATTTAGGGCATCCACACACAAGTAGTCGCACAAAACGACTTTGTCAATGTCAAAAATGAAAAAAATATATAAAAATTACTTCAGACAAATAACAAAAAAAAAACAAAAAAAGCATTCATGCATATAAGGAGACTAGCTCCATGTTTGTGATTGAAAACAGGATCACCGAGACCGAGTCTCCGAATAATGCCTGTCGCCGCCGTCCCAAAAGAGGGATAATGGCGGTCGGAGCGACGCGATGGTTTTCCGACTCTTATTTTTTTCGTAATCGCATTTTTTATTGGTTACAACGCTTTTAGTTGTCCGATAACCGGACTAACTTAAAAATGAGGTTTTCAAAAAGGTGTCTTTGGGTTGTCCGATAACCGGGCTAACCCTAAAGACTTATTTTTATGGGTTCTATGGATTCGCCACCGATGTTTTTACTGGAAACATCGGAAAAGGGGTAAAAAAGGCGTTGGTTTTTGAAAAACCAACTTTGGTCCGTTAAAACCAGAGTTGGGTAAGGGAGTTAGTTACGTGTAAAAGGGGTATTAGCCCTTTTACGACGCCCCTTTCGGGTTCCCTATGACAGGCCAGCTTTATTTATTGGTAAATGAACTAGAAAAACATGCTTTTGCCCTTTTTATTGTGCGGAAATTAAAAGTATGACTACATGGCCCTAATTTCTATTGCAGCATTTATAATTGAAAGCAATAAAAGTAAATAGACAGAAATTGCACCTCCGAAGCAAGCTCTTTTTGTATTGATATTAAAAAAATATAGGCGCTTTTTGGCAGCCCTTCACTCTACAAGACGCCGGAATACTTCTCGAACGCCGAAAAAACACTCTTAGACACTTAGAAACTCCGGAAATTGCGTCGGAGGGATTCTAGAGAGAGATTTTAGAGAGAAGGGAGAGCTTTTTTAGCTTGAGGTGTGTGTTTCTGTGTGGAAAAAAGGGGAAATGGAGCCCCTATTTATAGTTTTTCGCGCCTGACAGGTCGAGACCGCCGTTTCCTCTGACAGGGTCGAGACCGCCGTCTGGAAAGTCCAGACCGCCATCTCGTTCGTGGCAGAGGGTCGAGACCGCCGTCTGGATAATCCAGACCGCCGTCTCGACTGGGCAGAAAACGAGACCGCCGTCTGGGAAACCCAGACCGCCGTCTAGACAATCGAGACGGCGGTCTCGTCCTGGCGTTGAGACGAGACGACGGTCTGGTACTTCCAGACGGCGGTCTCGTCCCTTCAGGGCGAGAAACTTTATTTTTGGGCCAAAAAACCTTCCTATCTTAGTACGGGAGCCTAATAGTCTCTCCTAGTGGCTTGTTAGGCTTCGGCCGTCTTCAAGTAGGAAGTTTTCTGACTTTATTTGGAAGCCGGGCAAGATTTGGGGTCTACAGCTGCCCCCCCTTTACCTGACTAGTCAACTGTTTAGCTTGTTATGCCAGACAGGTAGACAGGAAGGTAAAGGAGTTGACCCTCTCGCCCGGCTGCCCTTCGGACGTCCCGTCTGGTGGCGGATGATCCTCTGGGAAGATGTTGTGTTTGTGCACCTCCGAGATACTACTCCTAACGTAGCCGATCCCTTTGGTTGACACGTGGTGGAACCTCCGGATACTACTCCTGACGTAGCCGATCCTTCGGTTGATGGGTATAAACCCCCCACCAGGCTGGTAGTGGCAGTCCGTGGTGTAGGACTGGTGGCTTCACTGGGGAAAATTGTGTATTCGTGCACTTCCGGGATACTCCTTCTGACGGTAGCCGATCCCTTTGGTGGACACGTGGTAGAACCTCCGGATACTACTCCTGACGTAGCCGATCCTTCGGTTGATGAGTATAAACCCCCCATCAGGCTGGTAGTGGCGACTTTCTTGGGGAGTCATGCGTCAGTCAGGCGCGGTCGTATGCGTAGGTTGATAGGTATAAACCCCCTATCAGGCTGGTAGTGGTACAGTCCGTTGGTTACTCTACTGGGGACTGGATGGGTATGATCCCCCCATCAGGGTGGTAGTTGCAACTTCACTGGGGATCCAGGTGCAATCGTGTGCGTAGATAGGTATAAACCCCCTATCAGGCTGGTACAGTCCTCGGCGTAGGACTGGCGGTGGTGGCGACTTACAGCTTGAGTGGCTCATGCGCCCTTTTTCCTTGGTGGAGTGTCTTCTGTTGGTAGATGTGCTTTGGAGTGGTCGTCCGGGCTATGCCAGGGATTCTTGTGTTTCATCCAGCTTCGTTGGTTGCTGGGGATTTTGTTTTTGATTCTTTTGGTAGTTGCCTGACCCTTGCTGATCGGTCGGGTGGTTTTTTGTGTGTTCGACTCTTGGTAGTCATTTTTTATTGGTTAAGGTAGTTGTTTTAATCCTGCCTTTTTCTCGCGGTCTTATCTCTTTTTTCTCGCGATTTTGGATTTTGGCTTTTTCCTTGAGCGTATGCCTTTTCTCTTTTAAGCTTTTTTTGTTACGCTGACTTTTGTAAAAGAAAGCAAAGCATGCATGGAATAAAATTTTATTCATAGGAAATTTTATTACAGCGATTTTTATTTCAACCCATACAATCCCTAAGAGTCATCATCATCAGAAGGGGGGTGGTAGGGAAAATGTTTATACATGTGGTAGCGGAAGTCGATTTGTTCTTGGATTTCATCGTTGTAATCCTCCTGGTACGTCGTCCACTCCTGCCGCATCCTCTGCTGCTCTTGGCGGATCTCATCTAGGCCTTCTTGCAAGGCCTGTTGGCGAACGTCTTGTTCTTGCCGCCACTGGGTCTGCTGCTCTTGCCATATCGCCATTTGGCCGAGTTGCTGGCTCAGGTCGTTCATGTGTTGGTGGAGGCCAGCAAAGTCCTCTGTGTATGGTGGTGATTGTTGCTGTCGCTGCTGCCGCTGCTGTTGCTGGGAGCTGGGAGATGTGGGCGCATCCTGCATTGCCACTATTCCCTGGAGTTCCAGCTCAAAGTCCAGGGTAGGATGCAGGGCGAACTGACTTCCCCGGCATATCAGCATCCCCATGCTGACCAGCATTGGCCCGTTGATGGGCTCGGGTCGCAAGTTGCGGGCCAGCTCTTCCCAGCCAGGGCACCCCATTCTCTCTGCTAGAGGGGTGATGAGGGGAGCCACAAGGATGGCCCCTGCAGATCTGCTCCCAAAGTCCTTCAGGGCCCTCAGGAGGAAGTACTCGGGATTGCAGCACCGTCTCTGGTGCATGCAGTAGAGGATAAAGAGGTCAGGGAGGGATATCTTCCCCTGACTCTCTTTTCTTGCGTGGATGGTGCCTGCCAGCAGCTTGTGGCAGATGCGGAGTGGTGGGGGGAGTGCAGACCCCCTCATCAATGAGGGCAATGTGGTGGCTCCTGTGAGCTCCTGCCACATTTCAGCAGCGGTGAGGTTGGTGGGCCTGGAGCAGATGGCCTCTCGGTACTCCCGATTTAATGCCGCCTCGGGCCGGATGAATCCAATGGACACATTGAATTCCTCCAGAGTGGTAGTGTGGTACTGCCCACCCATGAAATAGTTGACCATCTTGGTGGGCTGCATCCCTGAGGCCATGGAGGGGATTGTCGCCGCCGTCCCTTTCCGACGTCCGGAGGGGGACGTCTTAGAAACGTTTATGCGAGCGGTCGCGAAAAGATGGTTTAGACTCGCGTTTTTGTTTTAAAAGGTTTTCGAAAAGGGGTTCTTATGGAGTCGCCACCAATGTTTTGACCATAAACATTGGAAAAGGAAAAAATGTTGATTTTAAGAAAAACCGCACTTGGCCATTATAACCAGAGTTGGGTAAGGGAGTTAGTTACGTATGGGGAAGGTGTTAACACCCCACAACGCCCCTTTCGGGTTCCCTATGACAGATTAATTCATTTAAGTAAAGACTACGAGAAATTATGCGATTACCCTATTTTATTACATAATATTAAATGGCTATCTACATGATTTTATTCTATATTGCATGCATAAAATGATTAATAAAGCTAAATAAAGCAATAAAAGAGACAAAATAGCTATCTACATGATTTTATTCTACATGGCATAAATAAAGCTAAATAAAACAATAAATAAAGCAATAAAAGAGAAGAGAATTGAAAAGAACCTCAGTAGCAAGCTTGATATTGAGAATCTCGAACCGTGAGGATGCGTTTTGGCAACCCCTCTCTACTACGAGACTCTCCTCACCAATACGGGATCGACTCTACTAAAAATTTAAAGAAGAATCGAATGCTGGAATATAATTCCTTAACCGATTGTTACCTATTTAAGGCAATCGGAAAGATCATTCAAGAGAGGGAGAGAAATAGACAAGTGCTCCGAGTTTTAGAAAGTGTTTCGAGCTCTCGGGATGTACGGGGTGTGAAAAAGTGACAAATGAGCCTCCTATTTATAGTTTTCGAAGCTGGCGCACTTCGGGACCACCGTGCGGCTCGGACTGGGACGGCCGTCCCAAATGGCAAAATTACACAGGCTGGGACCCCCAGGGACCGGGACGGCCGTCCCACTTTTCCGGGGCTTGGGACGGCCGTCCCAGCTTCGGACGCGCGTCCCAACTGGCTGGAGCAAGTTGGGACGGCCGTCCCACCTTTGGGACGGCCGTCTCGACTGTTCCGCCGGTTTGCGCGTTTCGGGACTCCGGGAAGCTTTCCTTGCCTGTTTTGGACGTCGGTTGATGCCGATATGCGTCTGTTGAAGCTTTATCTTCATGTAGGAAGTCTCCTTGGCTCTTATTTGTAATGCTAGACGAGCTTTATCTTGTTACGGGTGATCTCTTTTATCTTTATTTGAGAGACCGGGCAAAATTAGGGGTCTACGACTGCCCCCTTCTCTCTGCCTAGCTAATTTATTGGCCTAATATGCCGATAAAATTAGGCTGGTAGGAGAAGGAGTTAACCCTTTTGCTCGGTTATCCTTCGGATCTTTGCTTTGCCGACGTTGCTGATCCTCCTGGATGATGAATAGTTTTGATAGGTACCAACCCCTATCCGGTTTGATGAGAATGAACCCTCGTCGGGTAAGCTCCTTTTTGTAAGGCTTGATGAATATACACCCCCATCTGGTGTTTGATGAGTACGAACCCCCATCTAGTTTTTGAGTTTCACTATATAATGTTACGTGAGTACTTACCCTCACCTGGTAGGAGTCCGCATTTTGACTAACTCGATGAGTACTTACCCCCATCCGGTATGAACCCCGTTCCGCAAGGTTTTTGATAAGCCTCGTTCTACAAGGCTTAGGTGAGTACGTACCCCCACCCGGTATGAAGTTTTTGGTAAGCCCCGTTCTGCAAGGCTTAGGTGAGTACGTACCCCCACCCGGTATGAAGTTTTTTGGTAAGCCCCGTTACGCAAGGCTTAGGTGAGTACGTACCCTCACCTGGTATGAAGTTTTTTGGTAAGCCCCGTTTCTGCAAGGCTTAGGTGAGTACGTACCCCCACCCGGTATGAAGTTTTTGGTAAGCCCCGTTTTACAAGGCTTAGGTGAGTACGTACCCCCACCCGGTATGAAGTTTTTGGTAAGCCCCGTTTTGCAAGGCTTAGGTGAGTACGTACCCTCACCCGGTATGAAGTTTTTTGGTAAGCCCGGTTCTGCAAGGCTTAGGTGAGTACATACCCCCACCCGGTATGAAGTTTTTGGTAAGCCCCGTTTTGCAAGGCTTAGGTGAGTACGTACCCTCACCCGGTATGAAGTTTTTGGTAAGCCCCGTTTTGCAAGGCTTAGGTGAGTACGTACCCTCACCGGTATGAAGTTTTTGGTAAGCCCCGTTCGCAAGGCTTAGGTGAGTACGTACCCTCACCCGGTATGAAGTTTTTGGTAAGCCCAGTTCGCAAGGCTTAGGTGAGTACGTACCCCACCCGGTTTCCGGCGACTTATTGTCTCCGATCATGCGCCTATTCCATGAGGAATGATTGATTTTCTTTCTTTTTGACTTTTCTATTTTAGTTATCCGGTTTTACGAGGATTCTTCGTTGGTTGCCTTTTGGGCGGGAATTTATTGGGGACTTTGATTGTGCCTCTTGATTAGGCAATTGCTTCGGCGATGGTGAAGACTTTTATGCTTTTGGGCTTGCATTACCTCTCGCATAGGTTGATTTCCCATTTCTCTGGGATATTAGCTCTTTGCTTATTTTGAGCAAACAGTAGTTCCGTTGTAAGCTCACCGGTGAAATTTTTCTTTTGAGAATTTGATTGCTCCGACTGGGATCTCTTTTGAATTGCCCCCTTAGAGGGAAAATGGAGTTTTTGACTCCTTATTGCTTGAACTGGCTTTTGTCTATGCTTTTATTTCTGCTGGGGAATGGGTTTGTATGTGCGCCTTTTATGCACGTTAGATGGAAAGATATATATTTTCTCTTCTCTTTGTAATGATCCCTGGGGAATTTTATTGGCTTCCTGGGGATGGAAATTTCTCCTTTTCTACTTTTGTAGATTTTTCTTGATGTGCTCTTCCTAGGGATTTTCTTTTGGCTTTTTCATGCAGTGGCCTTTGTTAGAGGATGAAAGGCTTTTCTCTTCTTTCTTTTTGTTGCCCCCTAGTGATTGGGATGTTTTGATTTTGTGCTTTCTTTCGATGGACTCTTGTGTAGTCCTTATTCTTCTTTGGGGAATGAAATGGAGACTCTTGCGTGAGTGTGCTTTGATGACTCATGTGGTGATGAAGCTTAGTCGCGAGGTAATCTTTTTGTCTTGCCTCCGGAGTAGGCAAGGGTCCAGCTTGGGGATGATCAAGCCTTTCCGTTGGCTCTTTTCCATTTTTGATGTACCTTCTTTTATTGTTGTAGATGGTTGGAGCTAGTTTCTTTGAAGTTCCTTATGTTGCTTGAAATGATTTTGATTTCGTTTTTCGCGATTTTGATTTTCATATGGAGACTGGATTACGGCGCTTCTGTTTTCAATCACAAGTGCGGAGACTAACCTCCTTATATGCATGTTTAATATTTTTGTTTGAAGAAAATTATTTTTCTTGATTTTGACAAAGTCATATTATGCAACTATTTTGTGTGTGAATGTCCTAAATGCAATCTATTGTTTATTTATTTTTAATGCATTTAGAAAGTAAGCGGCCTTCTCCAGTTGGCTTCTTATGAATATGCCTATGGGCTCCTCTTTTTATGACCTTAATGATGGGCTCATCTTTTACTCATCTTTTGGTTTTAGCCCTATCTTTTGCCTAGACCGCCCTTTACGGGTTTTCGATCTAGCGGGTCGCCTCAATTTTTGCCTAGGATATCTTAGGGGGCTTTTGCCTTATTTTTTGCCTAGACCGAGTCTTTTTTTGGGGTTTGCGATCTAGCGAGGCTACCCTAGTTTTTACCTAAGAATATCCTAGCAGGCGTTTATTCTCTTATTATTTTTATACGCTTCCCTTTTTTAGATGCATGTTTGATCTTTGATTAAAAGTCTTTGCGCATATCAATAAAGAGGCATTTCCATAATATTTGGTCAAGAGAAAGGAAATGGAAGGGAATTTTATTGATAAATGAGCAAAATTTTATTTCTTTTATAGAAGGATTACAAAAGGTATTTAGAAGAATGGGTAGTCAAGGTTGGTCTGTCTTGTTTAGGCTTATACAGATCATGTCCATGATATCTGCCCCTGGTTCTCCTAATTACTTCGGTTGAGATGCCTGAGCTCGAGTGAAGACTATGCGAGCTGCTTGCTACGGAAGAATGTTACTTTAGCCGCCTTTTCGGTTTTCGACTAAAGTAACAACTGCTCTTAGTTAGATTTTTTTTTTTTTTTTTTTTTTTTTTTTTACCTCTACTTTTTGCCTAGGACGTATCCTAGCGAGGAATATGGACCCTATCTTTTGCCCGAGAACGTCCTTTGCGGATTTTCATTCCTGACGGGTCTTGAGCAATGTCTTCAAGCATAATACTTCTTCACCGCGTCGAATTGATTGGGTGTCGAAATTCCTCTCCATCCATATTGGTGAGGATAAGTGCCCCTCTGAGAAAGCTCTTTTGACCACAAAGGGTCCTTCGTAATTTGCTTGCCCATTTTCCAATTTTATCCTTCGGGTTGGAAGCAATTTCTTTATAACTAGATCCCCTTCTTGATAAGTATGAGGGTGGACTTTTTTATCATAAGCCTTCTTGATCTTTTTTTGATAGGCTTGTCCATGACATATAGCATTCAGTAGCTTTTCATCGATAAGGTTTAATTGATCGTATCGACTTTGAATCCATTCGACTACTGTTAGTTTTGCTTCCATTATGATTCGCAAGGAAGGTATTTCGACTTCTATTGGTAACACGGCCTCCACACCATATACCAGGGAAAATGGAGTAGCCCCTGTTGAAGTCGCATCGAGATGTTCGATAACCATGAAGAGCAAAAGGTAACATTTCATGCCAATCTCTATAGGTTTTAACCATCTTTTGAACAATCTTCTTGATATTTTTATTGGTCGCTTCGATCGCGCCATTCATTTTGGGCAGATAAGGAGAAGAATTATGGTGTTGAATTTTGAAATCTTGACATAATTCTTCCATCATCTTATTATTCAAATTGGACCCGTTATCGGTAATGAGACGATGCGGGGTACCATATCGACATATGATATTCTTTTGAACGAAGGTGACCACTACCTTTTTAGTCACATGCGCGTAGGATGCAGCTTCTATCCATTTAGTGAAGTAGTCAATAGCCACCAGAATAAATCGATGACCATTGGATGCCTTAGGTTCAATGGGACCAATAACATCCATGCCCCACATGGCAAATGGCCATGGGATAGCCATAACATTGAGAGGTATCGGTGGAACATGTACATTGTCTGCGTGTATTTGACATTTGTGACATTTTACGGCATACTGATGACAGTCCTTTTCCATTGTGGACCAAAAATATCCTGCCTCGAGGATTTTCCTAGCCATGATATGCCCTGGGCGTGCGTCCGAAGGCTCCTTCATGTATTTCCCTAATCGGTTTCGAGATTCTTTGAGATTGACGCATCTTAGCAAAGTGGAGTCAAAATTCTTTTTATAAAGGGTTTCTCCTATCAACATAAACCCTACGGCCCTTTTCAGAATAATCCTTTTATCATTGTCACTGATTCCCTCGGGGTATTCACCCTTTGTTAAGTATCGCCTTATGTCATGATACCAAGGGGTTTCATCTTTTTCACTTGTCTATCATCATACAAAAGGCTTGTTTATTGTACCTTTTGACTTGGATGATGGGCATCTCATGTTCTTGTTCTAATGTGAACATGGATGATAATGTTGCCAATGCATCTGCAATTTGGTTGTCTTCTAGAGGGACATACTCGAAGGCGATGTTTTCCATTTTTGAAGTCATGTTACGAATGTGTTCCGGATAAGGGATTAACTTGGAATTTTTAGTTTCCCATTCACCCTTGAGTTGATAAATAACAAGGGAAGAGTCACTAGAATACTTTGAGTCTAGTTACCCCATGATCCAAAGTTGTTTGAATACCTAGAGCACAAGCTTCGTATTACGCCATATTGTTTGTGCAATCAAAGTTTAATCTGGTCATTCTTGGTATATACTTCTTTTCGGGAGATATTAAAATAGCTCAGATCCAGTGTCCTAGTAAATTTGAAGCTCCATCGAAGAACATGATCCACTCATCATTCTCTAGTTCTTCATGTTGGATGTGCATTATGTGCTCATCCGGAAAATCATCTTGTATGGATTGATATTCGATCTATTGGTCCATGTGCTAG